CTGCAGTAGTTGCAGTTTGTGACGTTGTACCAGCAATTTGCATGAGATTACCATTAAGATTTATCACTGTAAATAAAAGAAAAGAGAAACAAAATTAGATAAAGATACACAAAACAAATACATATAAATACCTCACAACACTTACCAGTTGGTTGCGCTTGTTGTACTTGGCTTTCCAACTGCACAGGTTGGTAGATGTAAGTTCGTACATCGGGAGTTTGAATGATTTGTGGGGTCTGTGGTTGCTGAATAACTATCTGTTGACCAGTGTTAATCAGACTAAAAATTGGAACAACTTGGATCTGTCCATTAGGCGCCGCTACTTGTATCGCCTGTGGAAGCATCATAGTTTGTTTACCCTGGCTCATCTGAACAACTTGTTCGGTTCCACCGGTACCGCCAACTACAACCGCCTGTCCTTCGCTGAGCTGGTCCATGGTAAATCCTCGCTATAATAATAACATATGTTTTCATCAAGAAATATATATAAGAGAGTTATACATAACATAATCAAATTTATATATTTAAAATAAAATAATAATTGTTGTGACCAGACAAGGCAGGCATTCCCAGAATCTGCCTGTCCGTCCTTATACATGTAGTGCTACGACAGTCTTCATTAATATTATTGCGGGGCCGGGATAGATAAGGAGCGAATAAACTCTCACTTCTTGTAATATGGAAATAGTATATATATATTTGGGTACTTCTGCTTCAGAGAAGCTGTTCGGCTTTGCTATGCACTCGCGTACACAACTCGCAAATGATGTTAATCGTAATCGTAAAATTCTCTTCCGGATCGCGCAGAGCTCACCGCGTACGTCTTTCTCTCACGGGCTCTGTCACACGACTCTCTCCTCGCCCGCTATCTCGGGCCTGACTCACTCATGCGCTCTCCTGCCTACCGTATTTACTACATAATGTTTATCTTAGAGCATCGGCATTGTCGTAACTAAATGCGAGCGTATTGAACAGGACGTTTAGGTATGTAAAACTAGTATTCATATTGCTTTAAGATCACTGGTCGCACTGCTTGCGATTACGTGTTTTCACAATAGCACAACATTGTTTTGTACGGAACCCGAACTGGTCACCGCACAAATCACAAGTAATCTTCTCACAACACATACACACGCACACATGATTACTGTATAAATTCTATGGTTATTACACAAATTAATATAAAGAGTGTACATGTATAGTATATAAAAAGTAAAAAACTTTTCCATCAATTATTACCATAACGACGTTCCTTGCTTGTGAAACTGTTGACGTAGGACTGCCGAAAGGTTGTATCGGGGTTGTAGTAACTGCAGTAGTTGCAGTTTGTGACGTTGTACCAGCAATTTGCATGAGA